ACCTATTGTACTGTATAATATTTTCTTTGGGATACGCTCCTTAGCCATTCTCTGTACATGCCCAGCCCATTGCAATCTTTTAAGCTTTATTGTCACTGAGATCTCTGGCTCCTTATATAATTTGTATGACTCTTTATTATATCTTATTCTCCATATCCCATTCTCTTTTATTGGTCCATAAATTCGTCTTAGGATTTTCCTCTCGAAAGAATTTATGACTGATTCCTCTTTCTTGTTTAGCGTCCAACTCGCTTTGCATAGCGACCAGTGTGCTTGGACTCAGCTCACTTTGGCTCCGCTCGGCACATCACCGCCGGCGGCGGGGGGTCGTGTCCTCCATAGCGCAATGCGTCACAGTATCTTTGGCAAGTCATTTGTATAAAGTAAAAAGAACAAGGGGCCAAGAATAGAGCCTTGTGGGACTCCACATTCAATCCTCTCTCAATCAGATATGCACCCACTGTTACTTTTGTTACCAAGTTCTACTCTCTGATATCTATCCGTTAAATAAGACTATTAATGTTTTAAATTTACCTTCAATTCCATAAAATTCAAGTTTATCAATTAGTATTTTATGTCAAAGGCCATTTGTAGATCACAAAAAATACCACCCACTAACATTTTGTTATTCATTGAAGTAAGTATACTATTTGATAATGTAAAGGCCACCACCTCGGTTGAGGAGTGTATTCTAAATCCATACTGTTAATTGACCAAGATACTATTCATTTCAATATGTGTAATTAATCTTTCATAAATAAGTTTTTCAATTACTTTTGAAAAAGAAGTCAGCAAAGATATAGGTCTATAGTTAGAAATTTCCTGCCTGTTGCCTTTTTTAAAGCATGGCTTAACTGTAGTATATTTTAGTCTATCCAGGATGACACCCAAACACATAATTGTGTTGCAGATATGCATCAGAGGTGAAATGACATAAAGTGAGCTTACTTTAATTATTCTGCTAGAGATTTCATCATAACCACTGGAATCCTTAGTTTTAATAATTTTATCAATTTCGCGCATATTGGTATACTTCCAAGTCAGTGTATTGAATGGACATTTAAAAATTTCCCTTAAATCAGTTGGATTAACAATATTAGTTCTAAATTTATTACCATAATTACTGACGAGCATCAACTCTGCTATAGTTATAAAGTATCTATTGAAAGAATCTGCCATTTCCTTTTGATTACTTATTATTTTGTTGTCTGATGTCAAAGTTTGAATATCCTCGTTCAGTTTTGGTTTTCCCTTTTGTTCATTTATAATTCTCCAAGTGTTTTTCATTTTATTCTCAGAATTTAAAATAATTTGGTTATAATGTAGTTTCTTTGCAGCCTTTATTACTTTTGTTAATATTGTGACAAGTTGCGCAACGGAGGACACCCCCTCCCTGGCCGGTGGTACGTGGTGGCATCGTAGCGATGTCATTACTATGGTAATAGGCAAGTCAACTCTGCCCCCCTCTGCACTGTGACATCACACGCAACGCTGCTGTCGACACATCGTCAGGCAACAGCGGTACCGATTACGTAACAGGCAAGTGCTGCGACTATATAAGGGAACTACACAGCCACCGCAGTCAGTTGAAAGTGTATCAGCGGCCGAAGACAGTTCTCCAGTCAGCAGTGAATGAGTTAAAAGCATATCAGCCGCCGACATGAGTTCTCAAGGCAGCAGCGTACGAGTTCAGTTGGAATATAGCAGCCGTCGCGGAAAGCGGAACCGGATGCGTGTGTGATAATCAGTGATAGTTTGTGATAACTGAGTAATAATTGGGAGTGTGTGATACAGTGACACTTGTATAGTTCCAGTATCGTAATTAATACGTGTATACTACTGAGGACAGAGTGAATTGATCAGTGCATAGGGTTTGTAAAGTGTGGAAGCCCGTAACATTGTTATATTTTAATTGTAGCCGAGACTTGTAGGTTGTTAAATAAACCAATTAACAATCCGAACGGCGTCTTCAGTGGCAAAACACGTTGCACTGGTGTCAGAAGTGGGATTGGACTTACACACGTGACCAACAAGATTCGAACTCAAGACACATGACAGTATTTTACTATATTGCATATGTAATATCTATTACGATTAATATCATCATTATGTCTACATGCCAGGAACAATTCTCTTTTTCTTGTACATGAAGTTTGAATCCCTTTAGTAATCCATTTGTTTTGGATATTATTATATCTAATTTCTCTTTTTTGAAAGCTAGCATAAAACATCTTAAATAAGTATTAACAAAATTATTAAACATGTTGTAACGTGTTTTGTTAATGAAGACGCCGTAGAGATCGTTAATTGGTTTATTTAACAAGTTACAAATCTCGGCTACAATTAATTATAACAATATTGCGGGGTTTCACAATTTATAACCCTATTTGGAAATCAAATCACGCTATTGTCAGTAGACTACACGTTTCACAGTACGGGAGCTATACAAGTGTCACTGTGTTACACACTCCCAATTAATTCTCAGTTGCCACAAACTGTCACTGATTATTACACACTAACTCGTAACTCGCCGCTGGCTAGATTCCAACTCAACTCGTAGGTAGCTGGGAATTAACTCGGAGCTAAGAAGTGACTGTGAATAGTCTTCGCTGCTCCGTATCTAGCCTCGTTCCGGACAACGCAGAAAACAGCCACGTAATAGGCACCCTTGTTGCCTGGCGCCGTGTTGCTAGCAACGCTGTCCGGAGTTGTTTACTGCTGCCTAGCAACCGCGGTACCCTTGGTGATGTCACCGCTGTTGACTCGCGTTGCATGGCTACCAGGATGCTGGGACTCGACTAACTTCGGCTCCGCTCGGCTCCCTTCAGCTCCGCTGTTCGTCCCGAATAGCCTAACGGTGCACCGCCGTTCCTTTTCCTTCCCGTAGATGTGCTTGCAGTGTCTCCTGTTGTTTCAGCTACTCTTCTTGCAGCAACTATTCTTCGTATGGTACATCCGCTCCCCTCTTTAAGACAAAGCTTGTCTCGAGCGGTTCCCTTTTGACTTGCCGGAAGATCGCTTTCTCCCATGGCACATTCACTCTCTCTGGGGAGGCCGGTTCTTCTATTTTACCGGCTCCTCTTCTGTGCCCTTCTTTTTTTGTTTTGGAGGGGGTCGACCCCTCCACAGTATCCAGTTTTTGATGTTCACATGTGCTGGGATTCCGTGCAGCACCTCTGCTTGTGCACTTGCACATGCCTCGAATTTCCCTTTCATGACGAGTCCTTGTGCCCTCTTGCATTGAAATCCTTCTTGTGCTTTCTTGGACACATCTTTATGGTGGCTTGTACGTGACTCTAACTGATCTCCTTTGAGTCACAGTCTCTTGCGCTGTGTCACCTTTGTACAGCCATTCATCTTCTTGTCAGCCGCGAACAGTTGCTTCCTCCCGGGTCCAACAGTTCCCTTAGTGAGGTTCTCCATCACGATGTCTCTCTTGCGTCGGGCCACTGTTGCACGACGGGACATCTTTATGCCGCTTCTCTTCAGCAGTCCACAATTTCTTTGGATCCAAGATTTCCTGAGGATGTTCCTCTTGCGCCATGCCACTGTTGCACGGCGGGACACCTTCCTGCAGGCGGCGGCCAACTTTACCTGGGGTCCAGGACTTTCCCGTGTCGGATTCTTCACATTTCGTCGATTTCGGTCCCTGCGCCTTTTCTTCTTCGGTTCTCTGACCGGCATTACTTCGGAGTCTTGTACAGGTACCTCTCATAGTTCTGTTGCCTCGGGTTTCTTGTTCGCTGAGGAAGGCTCTTCTTCTGAATGCGCCTCCATTTCTCGGCAGGCCATTGTCTCTCCGACCGGTATCACTATGTGGACCTCTTTTTGTTGTGCCGTCCATTCTTGGGTTGCTTCTGTTTCTGCTCGGATAGCTTCTCTTTCTGCGGCCATTTCTTCTCGCCGGGCCTTTCTATCGGCGTATAATTTTGACATGAAATCATCTTGGGCGGCCAGCAGGCGTTCCACCATTTCTTCAATTTTCATCATGTCCATGTTGTAGCAGTAAAATACTCGATGCACAATAATTAAATTATTTGTCGAGGCGTATTCAAGTTCGTAAACCAATTCTGACATCAAATTGTCACTTGTCTTGAGTTCGAATCTTGTCGGTCACGTGTGTAAGTTCAAATCCCACTTCTGACACCAAATGTAACGTGTTTTGTTACTGAAGACGCCGTAGAGATCGTTAATTGGTTTATTTAACAACCTACAAATCTCGGCTACAAATAATTATAACAATATTGCGGGGTTTCACAATTTATAACCCTGTTCGCAATTCAAATCACGCTATTGTCAGTAGACTACACGTTTCACAGTACGGGAGCTATACAAGTGTCACTGTATTACACACTCCCAGTTAATTCTCAGTTGCCACAAACTGTCACTGATTATTACACACTACTCGTAACTTGCCGCTGGCTAGATTCCAACTCAACTCGTAGGTAGCTGGGAACTAACTTGGAACTAAGAACTGACTGTGAATAGTCTTTGCTGTTCCATATCTAGCCTCGTTCCGGACAACGCAAAAAACAGCCACGTAATAGGCACCCTTGTTGCCTGGCGCCGTGTTGCTAGCAACGCTGTCCGGAGTTGTTTACTGCTGCCTAGCAACCGCGGTATCCCTTGGTGACGTCACCGCTGTTGACTCGCGTTGCATAGCTACCAGGATGCTGGGACTCGGCTAACTTCGGCTCCGCTCGGCTCCCTTCAGCGCGTCAGCTAGCGCGACACGTCACAATATTATTTACATTGGTATTCACAAATATGTCATCCCACTGTTCCCAGCTTAACCTAAGTTGGAATTTTTATTATAAACTAGCTGTGCCCGGCCACACCTTGGTGTGGCTCAGTCTGCCCGTTCTTCCCCAGTCTGATTTGAAATTACTCAACACACAGAACACCTTGTAGAAGTGTTTGGTTTCCATGGAAGTATACTTTCTGGTTTCATCCGTTGTTACGCAACGGAACCTCTTATCCTATGCAACGGTCTGTTCTAGCGTTACTATGGAAATGACTGCGCTGAAGAAGAAGAAAGGAAGTTGTAACAAAAACATATGAAATTGCAAAACATTAAAAAAGGAAGAACACAAGCTGGAAAACAAAGAAGAAACAAAAAAGTTAAAAATACTAACGAAATACTTCAATTCAAACGCAGATCAATCGACACAGCTTAATCCCACCGCCAATTGCACCGGAAAATAAGGGACGAAATGAAATACAACGAAAAATAAACTATACTCACGAAATGAATGCTATGGTAAACGACACAGCTCAATTCCAACGCAATGTAACACAAAATAATTAAAACAAAATGAAATCAAAATGAAAATAAATTGAAATCTATCACGAGAGTATTTTTTTTTTCCTCGCTTTTGCACTTATACACCGTGCAAGAATTGCCACTTGCAGTAACAAAACTAATCCTATTTCGCCTAGCTTCTGGCCCAGTGCTATGCTGCCTATGTTGTCGTGGCTGGATGTCGACTGTCTCTGGCGGTGGCTTCCTGTAGACTGTTTATATTCCTAAGCAACGATCTGCTGTCTCAGCAGTTCGTTGCCAAGGTTATTCCTAGGCAACAATCCGCTGTTTCAGCAGTTCGTTGCCACGATTATTCCTAGGCAACGATCCGCTGTTTCAACAGCTCGTTGCCACGGTTATTCCTAGGCAATGATCTGTTGGTATTTGATGGATGACGTATAACACGTTTTTTACCTGTCACGTGCGTGACATCTATATAACAGGTATATAAAAACGCTTGTGTTCGAATGAAACGTTGTGTCAAAATTTCAAAGCAAACGGTGAAGAACTTTCAGAGATCTTCGAGGAGAGACAAACAAACATTTACATTTTTATTTATATAGATACTGGAACTAACTGTTTTATTACAATCTGACCTAAAAATGTTGATATACTATGTTTTACTGAGCATTGGCTAAAGGAGGATCAGTTAGAATTAAGAAATATTTAGCATTTTAAACTAGTAAGTAAGTTTAGCAGAACTAGTTATGAACATGCTGGTTCATGTATATATGTAAAAGAGTATGTGCAAACTACAGAACTACTCTACTTGCAAAAATTAGGTAAGGAAAAAGATTTTGAAATGTCCATAGTGGAATTGTTGAAGGACAAAATAATTGTGTGTATTTATAGGTCACCAGATGGTGACTTTTACATGTTCCTAAAAAATTTGTAAGTTGTAATCCAAAATGTGCAGTTGAAAAAGAAAAAACTAATTTTATGTGGTGACTGGAACATAAACTTCTTAGATGACAGTGCAAGAGTAGGAGAACTAAAAAATTTGCTTCGGTTGTATAATTTGGCCAACATAATTGCATCCCCAACCAGGGTCACAAAGAATTCCATTACCACAGACAGATGTCATAGTAACAAACAAGCAAGTTTTGGAATGCACATCATCAGTATTGGACGTGGGTTATTTGGACCACTTGGCGCAAACACTAAAGATTAATGTAAATAGACAAGAGAGGGGTCCTAAAATGAGCAGAAAAAGACAGTTTACTAAAGTGGGTATCCAGGAGTTTAATTATTTATTGCAGAAGGAGTTATGGCAGGAGAGTTTTTCAAACTCAGATGCAAGTTCTAGTTTTAATGATTTTATGGACACTAGCCTTTATTATTATAATATAGCATTTCCAAAAAAAAAGACTGTTTATATGAAAATGACAAAAAGGCACTTGAATGGTTGGAAACAGAAATAGGTAACGCTGAAGTCACACCTCAGAGTATATGGCCCATTGCGAAATCTCTCATTAAGAGAGATGGACCAAGGGCACCAACTGCTATTCATGGTTCTTCTGGCCTTAAATTTTATTCTTCTGACAAAGCCAACGAAATTGCCGACTGTTTAGAAATTCAGTTCACGCCACATGACCTGTGTGACGAAAACCATGAACAGTGGGTGGAGGCTAGAGTTCAAGCTCTGCTGGAAGCCATAGATGAAAACCCCCCTCTAAGGATCAGACCATGTGACATTCAGAAATTAATAAAATCCCTGAAATTAAAAAAGGCCTGTGGAATTGACGGCATCCCAAACGAATGCCTCAGGCACCTTCCAAGGTGACCATTGATTCACCTAACTCATTTATTCAATCATTGTTTTCGGCTCTCTCATTTTCCAAATACTTGGAAGGAAGCAAAAATAAAGTAATTTTACCTAAACCAGGTAAAGACCCGAAATTTCCTCAAAATATACGTCCGATCAGCCTGCTGTCCACGACAGGAAAACTGTTCGAAAAAGTAATTTTGAAATTCCTCCGTAAACATACTGAAGGAAGAGGCCTGCTCAATGCAAGCAAGTTTGGTTTTCGTGCACGTCACAGCACGACATTGCAAAGTAATGTATGAGGCTGGCAGACCACGTGACCCTTAATTTCAACAATAAAATGTCTACGGCTGCAGTGTTCTTGGACATCAAAAAAGCCTTTGATACTACGTGGTACTCAGGCTTGCTGTATAATTTATCAAAATTGGAATTCTCTAACATTTTGACCAAGCTTATTGGGTCCTTTCTTTCTAAACGTAAATTCAGGGTCTCAGTTGAAGGCGAAATGTCAACGCCAAGGGAAATGCAAGCACGGGTGGCACAAGGTTCTGTCCTTTCCCCTACTGTTTTCAACTTGTACATAAATGATGCCCCCCAAACTCATGGTATTCACCTGGCCCTCTTTGCGGACGACACCTGTCTATGTGCGACAGATCGCAAGGATGGTTTTATTGTTAGAAAACTCCAGCATGGTCTCATCTCAATGGAGACCTGGTATGAGCGCTGGAATATAAAAATTAATGAAGATAAGACTCAGGGCGTCTACTTCTCTCATGGTCGTCGACCGCCTGAGTCTTGTCTTACTCTAAATGGAAGAAATATTCCATTTGTAAATAGTGCAAAATATCTAGGTGTAATCTTCGATAAGAGAGAGACATGGAGATTACACATAGAAATGATCGAAGCCAAGGCCTTCAGAACATTCATTCATTCATCCATTATTCAAAAGTGAGCGATTGAGCGCTAATATTAAACTGACCCTCCATAAAGTTCTTATTAGATCCGTAATGACTTATGGGTCATTACATGTGAAATCTTCCAGAAAGGTCGCTCACCATTTTAAAAAAAAATCAAAATTTGTACACTTATTTCTACATATTTT